GCCCACAAAACAGAAGGCTGACACTACATTACTCTGCACAGTGGGCTACAGTCGAGTTAAAGGCAAAGAGTCTATTTATCCTTAAGAAGGCTACAGTGCTGGGAATCCACGCCTCTGTGGAGTCGGTGCATGATGCATACACTGGATGTTGCTGTTTCCTGTATTATATGGCGGGTGTTTAGTGCCACGAAGACACAGAAGAGGGGTTGGGAAAACGCTGCTATCTTTTCATGAAGGCATTATTTTGAAATCATCATATTGGTATGCTCTTTGACCTCTTTTGAGGCGGAAAAGGCATGACAGACTATGCACAAAACTTAGCACAGTTTCAATGTTCCCTACATTTAAGATTTTTCACGACAGTCTTGTTGGCCATCTTGTTTTATGGAACCAGAAGCAGGGGTAAAAGTAGGCAGGTAAGATCTGGCACTGCTAACCACGAAAAGTTTCAGTGAAGACTTTAAGCACTTTGAGCAATGTTTTATAGCGCCCTGGATGGAGACCAGCTGCCTTTCGCTACTGCTAGTTAACGTGAGCACGAGCTTCCGCCAGCGCACCTGTGCTGACCGATATCCAGCGCTGTCAGGCTTTGGCAGGCAGGCAGTTGTTGTAAAATCTCCAAGTAAAATGTTTGGCAGAATTAGTTGTGATGGTTCATGGTATTGTTTTCTTCCAACAACACAGAGCAGCTCCGCTCATTTTAACATAACTTAAATCAAGACCACCACTGACAGGCTATTATTCTGTGTCATTACTGTGATTAGAAGGAAATGCCCCTTTATAAAAGAATAACTAAGTGAGTGACACGCCCGCTGCAAACAAGATGAGGATTTTTCAGTGATATCTATTGTCTTAGTCTTGACTCGGTCTCGATCACTAAATCTCTTGGACTTGTTAAGTCTCAGAGAACTCTGGTCTCCTTTAGTGTGGTCTTGACTACAGCTCTAGTTGCTGCATCCACTTCTATATGCCGTCTGTGTGTGACACTTACCTCCAAGAGATCCGTCCAGTCCTCTTTGCTGTCTGCATGCAACACTGCCCTACCTTATTATACATATGAAAAACAGTTAGGACACTTACTGTATTACTGAACCTTACAGTGGTGGCACTAATAACCCCTCATATAGATGTCTTTACTTTAAAAAAATCGCTCCACTGCAGTAACAGGAAACGACAGAAAACAACAAACTAAGGAGTTTTGTTTGCTTCACTCTGAGGCCTTATTGTCATTTCTATCATCTGTGGAGAAAACACTGAATGGATTACTTTCAATGAACGAGCATTAAACTCCTTGCGTGTTTGTACATAAGCATCAACAAACTTTCAAAGCCTGCAGGCTACATTGGCCTGTAATCTGTTTATTTACACTTTGATAGTGTTTCCAGAAGTGGACAAACAGGGGTCCCTCAGGGGTCTCTGGAGAAAGAAGGACCACGGGGGGAAAACGAGAGGATGTTAAGTCTACACTGCATTCTGGTATTATTCTGCAAAGAAAGAAAAAACATAAACAGGGCTTCTACATGACACAATCATGAAATCCAGGCACAAACAATTCATTTTCTTTTCTTTATTTCTTTCTTTCAATAGATTTTACACTATCTCGCTGGAACCAAAGAAACATTTTGACTATAGAAACATAAAATAGCACAAAATATATGCAAAAGAATACATTTAGAAATGATTACATTGAAACTATAAATCCGATGAGGGTCTTCTTGTCAATTTACTTTGTTGCTAGGGTACACTGCAAAAAAGGGAAAAAAAAAAAAAAAAGATGGCACAGGCAGTCACATTTCCTAAACTGCAGTCTCCAGTGTAGCGCCATCTGCTGGCTAAAGCTGTGAAACACCCAAAAACGAGATCTCACTACAGATTCAGGAGACGGAAAATAAAGAAAAAATGACTGATTGCTCGTGTGCAGTGCGTCACCCTCTTTTGGCCTTGTCGTGTGCGTATTAAAACCTTTAAAAAAAAGTTACTTTTTAATATAAAGATATTTGAAATGAAACCGAGAAGGGATCTGAGATGAGAGAGCCATTCAAGCCTCTTTAATAAAATTGGATAAAAGAGCTCTTAAGAACATAAAAACCTCAAGCACAATGGACTCAAGATAAGGCAAAGTGTTTGGATAAGCTGAGTCTGCTCAGTTGACCAACTGCTCAGAAAGTGCTTACATTTTATTTATTTTTTTAACATAAGTCAATCATTGCCGACACATTTCCCCCAAAAAGGAAAGAACACATTTCATTTCGAGAGGATGTCGTACACAAGGGCATCATGGGATCACCGAATTCTTTCTATTTTTAATCCACTGGAAACATTCAGAAAGTTATCGTTTATTAAAGCCTAGTCCACACGAGGGCGGGTGTTTTTTGGAAACAGAGTTTTTTCTGTGGAAACGCACCTTTTGGAAAACTCCTTCCAGGGTGAAGATTTATAGAAAACCTGTTTAAGGTGTTTATGTGTAGAACTGAGTTTTGGGTTTGTAAGGTCACACCGCGCGCCGGTTTCTCTTCAATTTGATGTCATACTGCGACGCTGTCACTTTTGTTTTCATGAGAGAAGAGCGACAGCAGACGTCACCAAACGAGTGCTCCAACGATGTTGAAGAGCAGAGACGCATGACTGGAAAATTCTGTCAAATGACATGGTCATTGCAGAGGGACGGCGAGAACATTTTTGCATGCCAAGGCCATCGTTTTTGACTTTTCAGATGTTTTCAGATGTTTTTGAGAATTTAGCGTGTGTGGACAGGATTACTTTTGGAAACGGAGGAGGAAAAACCCTGTTTGAAAAATTACCCGCTAAGGTGTGGACTCGGCCTGAAGAAGGAAAATGTTCTCATGCAACATGTCGAGGTTTTTGATTCATTAACTCTAATATCAGGGCGGGGCGAAACTTGAAAAATAATCTCAAACAGATCACTTTAAACGATATAAAAAGTGCAATCCTTAACTCTAGTGATACATAGGAATAAAACATCTCGATGTGGAACCTAAAGGTCCTCTGTCAGGGGGAGAGTTGTACATCTCAACTTATTAATTTATAGATTATTTACCTCTTATATATATATATTTATATTTATGTATAATCTATGTAACATTGATGACTTTAAATCTATTGACGTGTTACAGTCACAGCGCTACGGAGGCTGTTATCGGCTAATGAAAATATTAGGTCATTGTCGTAATCTCAGTGAGGTGAGGAATAAGAAATGTTCTTTACAATCTACCGTGTGTACAGTGTTCTAGCAAAAAGAAACAAACTCAACAATGTCATTTACAAAAATACCCAACTTTAGTAATCGCAACGTTTGGCTGCCACGGCAACAACTTAATATTGTTATGAAATACTATTATACTAGAGTGAAAAGTACATCTTTTTATGAATTTTTCTTCTCTTTTGTTTTTTTTTGGTAAAATGTCATCTATACAATAAACAATTTTTTTTTTCTCCCAACGACACAAGCGACTCTATGACTACGCTCATTACTGCGACACCGTGATCTTTTTATCAACGAGAAGGCAAGAAAGATCCAGGAGCTTTTCTTTAAAGTCGGTCGATTGGCGAGGGTCGACTTTCTTTAAGCCCCGCCCCCCTTTCGAGACGTGTGCGACTTTTTCTCATTCGCCGACCTGACAGGGTTAGACCTTGAAATGACCAACCGTGCAGAATGTAGCACAGCTCAATAAATTACATTCATTTTTAAAATAGAATAGTTAACAACATTGGTTTTTTTTTTTGACTAAAGAGTAACGTAAGATAAATTACAACAAAATAGAACTTTTTTTTTTTTTTTTTTTTTTTTTTTAAACCACCGTCCACGAGAGTTAACACACAAATCATAATGAAGACAATCAAGAGTGAATGGAACCAAAGAACCCGAGTGGAAAACTCAGATTTTGGAGTATGATTGTGGATTGTCAATGTTAATAATCAAGCACCATGAACATACATCAGAACTGTTAAAACACGCAGAAATCAAACAGAGGATTGGTCTAACACAGGGCTGTCATGATACCAGATTTTAAAGGTCACATATCCTCCTCCTTTTTAAAACGTGTAAATCAGTCTCAGAGCTCCCCAAAACATGTGTGTGAAGTTTCTTGTTCTAAATCCACTCAGATCCTGTATTTGATCATGCCGACAAACCCCTCTATTTCAGCCCTGCTCGGAACAGGCTGTTTCTGTGTCTGTAGCTTTAAATATTCAAATGAGCTGTGCCTGACCACGCCCCCTCTCTGGAAGGGCTTGGGTGGCTCAGGCTTTCTCGCTCCATGTCCTATTGTTTACGGTGAGAATGCAGACTCAGAGGGCAGAACAAGGTTACCCGAGGGTCACCCACCTGAGGGAGGGGTTACTGCCCTTTGTGATGTCATGAAGGGAAAATCTCCAAAAGGCCTGTTTGAGCACATATTTTCTGAGTGGAGCAGGCAAAAGACGGAGAGGATGGACTTTTCTCATCATTGAGGGGATTTGTAGACGGACTAGAGACACTTATTAGTGGGGAAGAGGATTTTGAGGAATATGTGACCTTTAAGCTTCGATACCATACGTGTAAAAATCAAACGATATCGATACATTTTGGATACCACGGCAACAAATTATAGCAGAGCTGGGTACCCAACATTCAGTAACTGAACTTAACGCGATCTAATGTGCATTAAAACGGCTACGTTTAGTAGTGGCAACGTTTTGGTACCAAAATGATGCCAATATATCCGTGCAATTTTCAAAAACACCACTGTTTGCCTATCTGTGGATTTGAACCAGCCATCGCTGCTCTCTCTCTCTTTTCCACTTGCAGCAGTTTTGGGTAAACATGGAGATTGCAACGTTTTAACTCACGTGGTATCCAAAAAAAAACTATCGGAGATTTTTTGACAACTGTCGCGTAAATCGATCAGATCTGAACTCAAATAATTTGTTCTGGTAAAGGTGGAGATGGTGGTGGTGGTGGTGGGGAATTCTGGGGAAAGTGGAATTCAAACATACCTTGATAATAGACACAACACAAGTTTTTTTAAATAACTTTGAATACATTTCTATAACCGTGAATATAAACTCTCAAAGTAAGAGACACTTTACATACATTACACAGTTTCACAATACGCTGTTTTCCCCCGCTCACGTTCCTCATGTAAACTACTCATAAAACCATGGTAAGAAAACGATGGTACACCGTGAAAGTCACCAAACATTCTACAAAGCTATTTTTGATTTGTCGTTTCTTTAACTTCTTTTTCGTCTGGATAAAGTCACTTGTGATGTTTCGAACGAAGAGTTTACTGTTTCTGTGATGTCATTCCCCGAAAAGAGTCCACGTAGCTTCTGACGAGCAGAGTGTCTTAAGTGGATGTGTGTTGATGTTGATGAGCATTTTTTAGGCACTTCTACAGTTTTTTTCTAAAATGGAACAGGATTATCGGTGATAGTAGGGTTGGACAGGACAACCGACGGTCACAGATAGCCCTCCAGTCGAAGTTCAAGTCATCTTTTTGCTTGACGAACATCGTCAAATGCACCGTGTTTTTTTAAAAAGTCTTAGCACTTAAGTCCCTCACCCCACCCCGACCCCCCGTAAAACCTCTTCCTGGTGTTGTCGTCACCTGCTGGACCTCGCTTTAAGTCCCAGTCTGCCGGCAGACCATCAGTCTCCAGATACAAACACACATGCACGCACACACACAAGGCTTGGTACGTCTGGAACGAGACCCTTAAGCTTTGGGAAGCTCTTGGCACAGACTCAAGCCTTTAGGCTGTTTTTCTTTTTTTTTTTCTCCAGTAATGGCGTCGACTATCTGGGCACTTTCTTCCCCAGACCGAACTTCATGCAAAAAAATCCGTGCACAATCTTTCAAAAAACATATAAAGGGTTCGTTATGAGCAGCTCTCGCGATGGCAAAGGAGGAAAAAACATGAATTAGGGTGTTGAAATGTGGCCTTTTTTTTTTCTGGCAGGTTGAGTCCGAGCTTTGGCAAGGGTGTTTCCAGAATTGGCGATGCAGGGGGAGGGGAGCGCGAAAAGCTTCATCATGGCGTTTTGACAGCATCTGGGACAGGTGAGGGTCAGCTCGCAGGGGGACAAGTCACATTAAGAAAACATGAACCTGTCTGCCCCCGAGGACATTCAACTTTAGTAGAAAGAGAAAGACGAAAGCGTTCTTGAAAAAGCGCCGAGTGTGGTTGTGCACAGGATTCTCTGTGACTCTTTCTGCTCTCCGCCTTCAACACTATACGTTTCATACAGTGCAAATCGAGCTTCTCACTCTCCAACCGAAAGGGATGAAGGTTGTGCAGCAGAATAAATATGAAGGAGAGGGGCTCCACGGTACTTTGGGTTGTTAAGATGACCTCTATAGTGTGTGTGTTATGTAGCTCTATACAGAAGAATATTTTTGACTTTTTCCTGTTAATAGTTTTTTCTAGCAATACATACAGTATATATCTTTTTTTCTGTGTGTGTGTGTGTTACACCGGCACTGCAGTTCTTACGGTTAAATTGAAGTGTTACACTCTTAGCATGCAGGTTGCTGGACCTCTATGGGAGAGGTCAGGTAGTATTTACACAGGGGCTGTTTTGGGTTTCCTAGTGCAGCTTGGTGACACTCCGTTCCCGTCCTGACGCTTACTTCAGGATGATCTGCAGGAGGAGGAAGACGGACACGGAGACAAGAGTTAGTTTGATGCAGAGAGAGAAGCTGGTTTTAACTCCACTGTATCATGGAGTAAACAGAATATGCATTTTAACTTTAAAACATGTAAGAATGTACGAAACAAAACAAGTGAACAGAAAGGCTGTTTGTTGTCTCAGGAAGATCTGGGTCAAACAGTATTTGCCTTTTCTCTGCTTTCTTAAAGAGACAGTTCTAGGTTGTTTTTTTTTTAACCTGGGAGGTGAGTCCTTTAAGCACATCACGTAAAAATGCAACAAGAAGAAGGCCGGCTGACCTGATGACGAGCTCCTTGTGTTTAGAAAAACTTTTTCTGGTATTTAGTAAGGCCCCGTGTCCACTTAGCATTTTTTTCTGGGCAGAAAAGCGCTGCACGTCCGTCCGCTCAGAAAAAAAACGCTAGGTGGAGCAGGCTTGTCTCCTTTTCATTGCTGCATTTTTTTTTTCACCTCACCAGGAGCCACGTTTTTTTTTAATTACTTATTTTTGGGGCCAAATGATGAAAAGGTTTGTCACTATTCTTAGTGTGAATAATAGTTTGTGGCCTAGATGTTTGAAATATATGTATTAAAGGCGAGGACACAAACACAGCGAGCTAGAATGAGAGTTTTTGACAAAGAGGGTCTGGTGGCTCTGAGGAGAGCAACATATTGGCTGTGTTTGCTTTAAACAGAAAGATTGATCTCTGCAGGGATCCTCTCTTCAGTGTTTTTAATGCGAGCCTGTCGGGGGGCATAAAGAAGCTCTTTAAGTGGACATTCATGGCGCTATAGCCGCCAGTTTCTCTGCAGCAATCAGCTGGAGGATTTCAAAAACTCTGTGTTCCTATTAGATATGAAGACCCCTGAATGTGTTAAATCATGGCCCAGATTGAATTACTACTAAAGTTGGACATTTGAGAAATACCTTTAAAAAGCAAGCGACACCTAAAAAGAACTTTAATGACGAAGTGAACAAACTGTAACGTCCACTTTATGTTGCGATTGGTCTAAAAGAAAGCAGAATTTGAACTTCTTTATTTGCATCTTAACGTGAAGTTTTTCGCCAAATTAATCTATGTAGCAAACATTTTTCCTAAAAATCGTCATCACCAAATGTCCTCCTGTCATTGGCTGTATGTGTCTTTGCTGGGGGAGACGAAGTAAACACAGGAAGGTGGTCTGCAGGAATATTAACAAAGAAATCTACTTTGTAGATAAGTCAGATCAAAGCTGGATTCATTGCATCGTGCAGCCACTTCAAAGGTGGCTAAGGAAGCTGAAATGTTTCTTTGTGAACTTTCACTGGGGGTCAGATCGAGGCTGCATCCTGTTCCCAACACAAACAAAAACACCATGATTCTTGTGCAACCACAGCTAGAGCGTTTCCCTTACAGGCTTTCTGCAGGTCTGCCCTGAATGCAGTTCCTCAGATGTATAGGATCTAGAGAGAAAGACAAAGTACAGTCCAATTCAACAAGGCTACAAAAAAAGAAGGCGCAGGTGTGAGACTACAAAGACAGAATTCTTGGAGAGCAGATCGAGAAGCCAGCGGGGATGCAGCCAAGAGGAGGCTTTCTTTTTTTTCCTTTCTTTACACAACAGTTTGTGGGTGTGTGTTGCCATTTGGAACGAGTATAAACAATCTGCATTTGGGTGTAGCTGGACTACATGTTGGTACTTTGTCTGAGCACTCTGAGACCTTCACTGGTGTCCCAGATTGTTGAGAAATCGGACCCTTTCACGCAGTATTTATTCTACTTTGCTGGTTTATATGAAAGGGATGGAGACAGAGCGGTTTGCACGATGTTACTGTGCCTTTAAGAAATCTGTGTACGTGAGGAAGGACAATGTTTTAAATAATTAGCTATGGAAGTCAGCAGCTAAGCTCACAGCGATCGACAAATATCTGCATATTGCTCCTTAATGTTTTACAAGATTAACTGCAGGAACTTTAAGTTATTATTATTATAGTTTATAAAGAAGTGTGCATGTCAAACATCGACATTTGGCCGCTTTCTTTCAGGATATCAACTTACTCTGTGCAGCAATTTTAACAAATTTTTCTCTATAATTTACCCTCGTAAGTATTTGTGTCATAACTGCTCTTTCGGGGTAGTGGGGGGCCACACTCATATTCACACCTACGGGCAATTTTTAGAGTCACCAATGAACCTCACCAGCATGTCTTTGGAGTGTGGGAGGAAGCCGGAGTACCCGGAGGGAGCACCACGCATGCACGGGGAGAACATGCAAACTCCACACAGAGAGGCTCCTGTCAGACGGGGATTCAAACCAGGAACCTCGACAGTGAGGCGACAGTGTTAACCACTGCTCCACCGTGCTGGGTTAGGTCAATAAAGTAAAATCCTCACCATTCTTCACTTCAAACGTGTACAGTTTTCCTCGTGTTGAATATGGCACTGTTTGTTGTTTAGGTTTACTTTTGCTTTTTTTTTTTTTTTTTTTTGTTCATTTATTGATCTAATTTTGTTTGACTAATAAAGACATTCGAATGGAAATAGAAAACTGAAGATAATTGCAGATAGGTTCAGAGTACAAAGGCAAATAAACAAATCTATTCTGAGTTTAAACAATGTGTCGATTAATCGTGCTTTTTCTGCTTTCGTTTTCAGCGGTGCGAATTTTTTCTGTTGCAAAAAAAGGATTAAATTTGGTTGTCAAAATGTTCAATACGTCGATACATTTTGGATACCACCTACAGACTGCATCTGTTCCATCAGACAGAAGACTGCCGTTTTTGATTTTTGATTTTTTTTTTTAAGAAATCAAACAACAGTGGGTTCCTAGGACTTCAATTTTTGTTGCCGTGGTATCGGAAAAATGTATCGATAAGTCTAATTTATAAATTTGGTATGATGACGACCCTAGGAGTAAAAGCCTCTGATTATTAGCAAATAGCATTTGACCCAGGTCTGAGCACCTCTGTAAGTATTCTATCTTCAGTAGAGACAAATCATCTTCAACATGACAAAGACAGAGAGAGAAGAAGAAGAAGAAGAAGAGAGATTGTCTATAAGAGAGAGAGGGGGGGGGGGGGATAGGTAGAGTAGCTTCAGGCTGCCATCTTGTGATCGCCCCTGGCAGCGAGCCGACACAGAACAACAGCACACGGTGTTTGTTAATAGACAACACATAGCGAGCAAAGGACAGAAGCCACTGGGCACATCACGCATCACAGAGGGTCACATCAGGGGGAGAGGGAGTGTGACGTGTGCAGGCTGAGAGGAGACGCCCCGCTCTGCAGTGGGTTATGGAAAAACATTACTGAGCGCCAGATGGACGGGATCAGCCAGACAGGGAGGTAAACCCCACCCGTCTGGAAGCGCACAGGTGGGTCAAAACAAACACCAAAGACTTTTTAAGCGGCTAGATTTGGTGCAGACAGTTTGAGGAGCGAAAAAGAGGGAGTTACAGAATCGCACTGGAGGTTCAAAGCGCGCTCGATTAATATCCGATTATTACTCAGATTGAATTACACCTCAGCGACCTGGTCAGTTAATTTGAAGAAATGTGATGAGGATAATTACAGGTTCTTTCTTTCTTCAGGAGCTGTCCTCTAGTCGGATATAATCATCTCTAATTCTATTTAATTCTCATCCTCGTATCAGTTTCAGCCAGAGTGAACACACAGAGCCTTTAGGTTTGTCGTGCAACGCTTCATTTGGACAGCAGAGGGCGCTAAAGCTTCAAAGTTTGCACATGGTTCATAGGAGCAACTGTGCAACTTCCTGTCCTTTTGCATTAATGTGCATTAATGAGGATTGATGTCATTTTATGCAACTTGTGGGTGACAAACGCATTTTATTTTACAGGTTTACCTCTTTAAGCTAAAGATATGTTAAAGTGCATGATTATAAATGTCGCTAGCGTCGTCTTGCAGCAGCCAGACAGTCCTCAGGTGGACTGGTAAAATACTGCTGACTATGTTCAAGGTGTTGAATGGACTTTTCCCCCAAAGTACCTCTCCGTACTCTGAACCCCATATCAGTCGGTAAAATACCTTTTAGGTTTTGTCGGGCGTTTCATAACCTTTGGACCATTTTAATGTAAACAAACTTCATTATTTTTGACTCTAAATTCTGTGTGATGCATATTCTGACATATTAACATTTCTGTTTAAACTTCCTAAATGGGGATTCGGCCCGTGTTCTCTCAATCACATGACTGGTTAAGAAAACACTCAAGGTTGATGCTAACCATGTAGCATCATCACAAAGTCAGGATTGGCTGCAGCTTCAGATCCAGGTGTTGTTTTGAGGAAAAACAATGACATTGCATTGTCTAACAATAAAGATTTGGGTCGTTTGTTCTAGAAGAAACACTACGATAGGAATGACAAACGCAGGACATCAGGTGATCGAACGTGTTAACTGTGTCCTCGCCGGAGAGATCTTCATGCAGAGCGAGGAAGCGAGGAGGAGGAGAGAGACAACGGAGGAGGTTGGGGGGGGGGGGGGGGGACAGAAGGAGACAGACAGCGAGGGGGCTGACGTCAGTGTTTCTCCGGCTCCTTGTCCCACATGCATCTTTAAAGAGCAGCTCTGCTTCCTGCTGCTACTGCTGCAGCATGCCAATTACGGGAAGAGACGGTGACTCACGGGAAGTGAACGATGCACGGCCGGCCTGTGAGGGGCAATAAAGCACGAGGTACAGTGGGGGAACCAGATCCTCATCGGAAGAGATGGAAGGGGACTCTCGGAGGACTTGATTAATTTTTATGTTCATTTTTATTCCAACCTGATTTCACATTTTTCACTCTTAGAGATCCTATTTTTTTCCCCGTTCAGATAGGATATACGAACTTGTTGTTGTTCTGTGGTTGCCATAGTAATCATAAGAGGCTGAAATTCATTCTTTGAGATAGATTTGGTTTTTTAATGTTTTCTCCAGGCAGGAAATCGGTACAAAAATAGATTTAAATTTAGAATAAAGGTCCCTAAAACCAGCACAAGACTGTGTTAATAAAATGAATGTGTTTCATTTCACACTTCAAATGTTTTTGCACACACACCAAGGTAACCTAAGTTTGTATGTCCTCCATCTGTTTTCCAGTTACACAACATATCGACCTGTGTAACACTTGGACATCTGCGTGTCCTCAGACCACCTCTACTCTTAACTACTGGTAAATGATTGCCAGCTGCATGAGGCCGGCGTGCCAGCATTGTGCAGACATTTCCAGGTTTAAAAATGGGGGCACATGTGCGTCACTCTGGCATTCAAAAAGCTGGCCCCTGCTTCTCCTGACTCCTGCTGACACGCAGCAACAGGAGAGCAGCCGATCACTGAGGCCATTTTTAGACAGCTTCTGTGATCATCATCGTCTGTCTCGCCCTGACAAGCGTGGCCCATAACTGTTTCCTCTCTTGATTTATTCTCTCTCTTGTCTCAAAACCAGTGAAAGGTAAAAAGGTGAAACTAGGAGGGGGGTGGGGGGTGGTGGGGTGGGGGCGGGGGCTTGTTAAGTGCTGCAGAAATAGCCTGCATGTATTTGCTTCAATGTGTGTTTGCAAAGCACACGAGCGGTACAAATGATGCCCCCTGCTGCAGACGGAGAGGCTTATTTGACAACAAGAAAAAAGAGGAAATAAAACGTAAAACATGCAGAACAAAACCAGGAAGTAGTGCAACACAACACAACTACTACTTTGCAAATGTTGGAGCTCTGAAGAAGTGCTTATGGGGAGCGCTAATGCACGGCATTTTACATGAAATACAATACAGCGCAGTGGCTTAGGTAACCCCTCTGTAACACACCCACTCACAGGTTTTAATGCCACTGTGAGCGCAGCCCAGTACAGGCGGAGGGGGATGGCTGGGGAGGGGCTGGGCGTGGGCAAAGGCTCAGCTGCAGGTTATTGCAGCCCCGCTATTAGATGGCAGCACTTATTCAGAGCTCCGGGGACTGATGAAAGAAAGCTTTAAAAGGAGCAAACCTGATTGGCTGGTGCTGTTGCTGCGTAGGGGACACTTGTGGCAGGAGTTGTTGCTGCAGAGACAGTAGCAGGCGTAGCACTGTACATCATTGGGACTTTTTGAGGGTGGGGGAGAAGGGGAGAGGGAGGGGGGGGGAGGAGGGAAGTGGTAGCAATGGACAGGTCGGTGGAGCATTATGGTAAACATGGCAACAGTTGTGATGTGTGTGTGTCGGTGGTGTCGTTTGTTGTTGTTGTTGGTGTTGTTGATGGTGGTGGTGGTGGTGGAGGAGGTGGTGGTGGTGTTGGAGGTGGTGTTGGCGGATGTTACAGAGAGCCAGCAAGCCATCGTTAGGGTTACACCGGCAGATGGCATGCAACCATTCACAATGCAAAGCAAAGGAGGACAGGAAGAAAGAAAGAAAGAACAAAAGAGAGCATGGGAGAAAAAAAAAACAAAGAGGAGAGAAGCTGATTACAATCACAAATAAGGAAATTTATACGGAAAATCAGTTTGCTGTTTTTTTTTCCCAGAGAAGTTGAAGAGCACAAGACACCAATTACATGACTCATCGACATTTTTTTGGCAGCAGGGATGGGAATTTTGTTTTTCACAACACAAGACTTTTGCACACTAATAAGGCAGCTATGCCAAACACATGAAACTCTTTGTACTTATTAGGGCATCAGGGCTACTAAAAGATGAAAAAAAAAAAAGGTGGGCTTGATCTAAAGGTTGTGTTTGACCACTGACAGGCTCGGATTTGTTACTCTGTGTGTCTGCCAACAGAAAGTCCACCAAAGAAAATATAACTTTTTGCTCAGATAACAACGTAGAGCATCTCTTTCCTCAAAGCCACCAGACTCCATTGACAAAAACAGGGATTTTAGCTCGGAGAGCAGAGGAGTTGCTGTTCCACCGCCGTCTTGGTAGGTTAGTTTGTGTTTGTTTTGTTGTGTTTGATCTGAGATAAAGATCTAAAATCAATGAAATAAACAAGACCACAAAGGTGACGGAGGCAGCTGCAGACCAGCGACTCCTGCGCTCTGCATCATGGATTTACTGTCTTTAAAAAAAAAAAAAAGCATTAAGCATCCATTACCCTCCTTAAAGCCACCAGACTCCATTGACCAAAACAGGGATTCTAGTTTGGTTTTGTGGGAGTTGCTGGTCGACCTCTGCATTGGAAGGTTAGTCTGTTTATGTTTTTCGGACTGAGCCAAAACATCTAAAATCACTTCAATCAACCAGAACACAACCCTGATCGATGCAGCAGTAGACGAGCAGCTCACGAGTTGTGCATCGTCAAATCGCTGGTTTTGACAATGGAGTCTGGTGGCTTTGAAGAGAATCATGTATCTTTTTTAAAAAAAAATGAACGGGTCTATCTCTGCAGGGGGACTTCCTGCAATATGGTTGGACAGTTTCATTAAGATTCCTAGCCTGTCTGTGGAAATAACCGCTCTTTAATTAAACAGCATTTGATGCTCCGTTCGCCTCGGAGGGTAAAGTTAGAGCCGTTATAAACTGTGTCGCAGGCAGCTGCAGGATGAAGCAATGCACTGGAACAAGTCGTACCTATCCTCATTTAGCAAAACATTTGTAGAAATCCGAAGTTCTGGTCTTTTTTTTTTGGTGTAATTCCCATCCCCTTTGAGCTTTCAAAATAACTTCTCTGGGAAACTGATTTAAATTTCCCGATCAAAACACAGCACAGCAAACAGACAGTAGCTATCCTACAGCTACCCTCCAACAGATCAGTATACAGTGTTTACTCCAAACTACCTTTCTAATCATAAACAGTCATTAGCGAGAGAGAGAGGGAGAGAGAGTCAGTAAGGAAACATGAACTGAGTCGTCACTCTTTCAGGTGACACAAAAAGGACATTACAAAATGTGAATCATATCCAATCCCAGGATAAATAAAAGGACAGTGTGATGAAAATCTTCAGCACATTTTAAAAGTTGCATCCCCACACAGGAGGTAAAACAATGACCTTTTGTCTCACCTGGAAGGGCTGCAGAAATTAGCCACTCAAACCCCCTCCACCCATCCCCCTCCTGTCAATGCTTTTCATACAAACAGTGTGTGTGAGAGAGCAAAGGGAAGGTCAGGACCTACCAAGACTGCTAGCAGGAGTCATGCACAAGACTGACCCTGTCGTGTTCATGCAGAGAGAGAGAGACAGAGAGAGAGAGAGAGAGGGAGACAGAGTGGGGGTGTGAGAGAGAGAGAGAGAGAGAGAGAGAGAGAGAGAGAGAGTGGAGGAAATAAACGGGTTAATTGAGGGAGGAGAACATCAAGGTTAGACAAGACAAAAATAAAAGCTTGGATGCTGCTGTTACAGTCGTGCTGTCAGCCAGTCATTTAATGCATGCAGAGGAATATCATTCCCCGATTCAGTTATTGTATTAGTGGGGAAAATACTGTTCATGTACAAAGATCACAATGCAGACTTCAGGATGCCGCAGGATCTAACACTGTGACTAGATAAAGCATGTTGCAAAGCTCGAGCACGGAGTTTATTGGCTGCTCTTTGCAGGTGTAAAGAGAGGAAACGAGCGTCTTAAAAACATGTATGTTTGTTTCTCTTCTATGGACAGAGAAACAGAGAAGTCTGCTTCACTCTTTAATGAATCGGAAATAAAACGATTATTTCCATATTTCTATCTGTCTACTATCTTAAAGCCCTCTTCACAGTCGACTAGTTCTACGTTCCTCTCCGCATGCTGCCCTGGCTGCATCCCCTCCATCTCATCCTTTCTTCTGATGAACTTCACTTCCCAGGATTTCGGTTTCCCTCGCTGTGAACCAAGACGGGCCTTCCTGATGTGCATCCAACTTTCTGTCAAAGCTTACATATACAGTGTGGTGCTAGTGCGGCTTTATAAGTGGGACAGAGGCAGAGAAAAGAGCCTGCAGACAACTACTCTTTGCAGAAAATAAATTAATGGATATAGAAATATTTTCCCCTAATTTCTGGGAGGCAATAACTCTATTTAGGTTGTTGACCTTTGCCATGATTAAAAATGACTGTTACATTATGGTCAGGAGGTAATACGATCTCTGATGTGAAGGGGCTTAAGTTACGTAAACTTTATTTTCATGTAAGAGAGAAAAACTGGACAGATGATGGATTTTAGCGGCAGCATCATGAGGTGTCAGAGCCAGGACGTGCACATGCTTTAACCTTGTTACAAATATTCACAAGAGATTTTTGACTACCTGAAACTTCAAATATCTTTCTTCTGTTTTAGTCTTCATGAGTGGAAAAAAAAATCAGTGTCCAGATTTGTATATAAAAATTGATTTTCTTACATGACTCTAACCTGGGGATACTTCCCACACAGATACAGAGTGAGGGAGTGAGGGAGGGAAGGAGTGAGGCGCTGTCAGGCATCTCAGACCACAGGGAGACAAAAAGAGACCAGACGAGCCAGTGATGACTCAGTGTGGCTGCAGGCTGCAGCATTAGCAGCAGTTAATTCATTTAACGGAGCGACCTGAGGGGGCTTCGGCTGCAGTTTGTTTCCATGAGAGACAGCGGTTTGTTTGAGGGGTAAATACTGGCCAACAATAAGGGAAGGACTCGAATTAATCGGAGAAAATTGGAACAAAATTGCCTTTAAAATGTGATTTTTGTTTTTCAATATAGACGTCTGTCAGAACTGATTGAGCACACGTCTGTCTCTTATTCCACTTCATAGGTGAGTCAAAAACAGAGTTTAAAAAGCCTCTGTGTCGGAGACAACCAGACTTGTTTAGCTCTCCTGTGTGTTTGGGCGTTACAGTGACAGGTGTGTCACATTCAAGAGGTAATAAAACATGTTTATTGTTCTGATCAAAGTGTGCACTGCCCGACAACATGACCACAGTTATGAGTTCATGTTGGCCAGCACTAGATCAACGTTAAGAAATTACACAAAAGTCGTCGACCACGTGTTTTATGAACGTACCAAAGCTTTAAAAAAGTCATGTAGTTAAGCAAAAGCTGCCGTGTGTGACAGAGACAACGATACGGTCTCATGAAGGTGCAAAAGTTGCGTTTATGTCTCCTAAAAACGGAGAGCAAACGAGGTAACACTGTCTAACATGCACAATGTTTCTGTACCAACGTGTGTGTGCAATTTAGAGAGCATGAAGGAGTTCACTTGCAGTATTTAGAAACAAGAAATTACATAAGATTTTGATTTCTGATGCCGTCAGATCAAACCGGTTCGGACATCTTTTTGTTACAAGTATCTAAAGGTCTGGTATGGTGACAACCCTAGACGGCACAGGTTGAAACATGGTTGAAACATGAGCACTACGATCACATAGAAGTTAGTGGATGCAATTGATGATGAGAGGTGATCTAATTTTTAGCACAGGCAACTCTAAAAGGACGACTTTGTGAAAGATAGAAAGTTAGCCGAGCACATTCAGTGAGTGTGGTGTCTGCGTCTGTGTGCGCCCTGCATGCCCTGCATACCTATGAGTGCTTCTATTTGCATGTGTGCATCGATCGGGAGCTCTCACCTGTGGGAAAGAAAGCGGGCTGCTGGAGCTGTGCGTTGGCCAGCGCCTGCTGGTAGTGCAAAACACTGGGGTTGAACAGGGAGCTCGCTCCGTTGCTCTTCTCAAGTGCTTGTCTCTTTGGTAGGGGCTGGAGGACGCCGTGGGGGAACGCCTGTCCACCCAACACACACACACACACACACACACACACACACACACGACAAGACACAACAAACACACACAAAAAGCAGAGTCGATTTGAACTGTATACTCACACAGCAGAGATATTTGTAAATGTGTTATTAGTCTATGCACAGCACAACATGAAAAGTTGCCGTAACTATCACAAGGACAATGAGAAACTACACCATAGCAAGGCAAACACATTAAAGAAAACTGTGAGATTAATTTAGCATTACGTTGTAGGTAATCAAAGCCATTAAAATGATAAATATTTATACATTAAAGTGTCTTTCACAGAAACCAAAAGAGCCAACTTAAATTGTTGTGAGTGGCTACAGTACAATTAAAGAAGCTACATGCAAAGCAAAAGGTGAAAGGTCCAAGTACCAGGTCTACAGTTGCCTCGAGGGGTCGCTTCATTGCTTTGGCAGTCGACTGAGTCTTTAATTAGCAGGCAGCGAGCACATGATGGCAGTGGGCCAATGGGATTCAAGCGTATTAACATACAGGTAACAGCAAGCAGAGGTGCGTCATGGGGGACAGCATTGCATTGTGGATAGGTGAGAAGGAAAAAAACAAAAACAAAAAATAATCTGAAAATGCAAGTATACCACATACAAAACAATAGGCATGCACATAAACAAAAAATTGTTTTGTTTACTTTTAAAGAAACATTGCTACTCTTTGAATTAGTACATAAGCAAAAAAAAAAAAAAAAAAAAAAAAAAAAAGCATCTATATTAAACTCTTAAAGCAAGAATCTATTAGGTATTTAAAAATCTACGGAGAAAGCATTTAGTAGTAACAATTCGGACAAGTAATCAAACTTCTTTTCTTTCTTTTTTAAAATATCTACGCTGGAGACACAAAAACACAACTGAGCAAGACGATAAATAGAGGGACCAGCGTTCAAAGGAACAACTACGAGGCTCTTTTAGGACTCCTTTTGATCATGTGAGGAAGATCGGTTTAGGGGGCAAAGCCCTTCAAATTAGCAGGAAGTGGACACGTTTGCATACAAAGCTTTCAAACTACAAGCAAACATTACTGCCCGATCATTTTGGGGCCTAAATGTATCCGTATTGGTGCATACATTTTCCTGCTTATCTTGATCCAATGTTTTTGGGCTCTAATTGCACAAAACTGCAAAGTTATCGCAGCAAATTGAGATGCAGAATATTCCCTACACAGCATTTATATCTGCAAAGAAATGCTATAAAAAATAATCGGATTTGACCCCTTCTGTCTGACATAACAGGCCGGTAAGAAGATGCTAAACGCAGCGTTAAGCTGCTAACGACTCAGACAAACACTCATATACACTAGATAAAGTATGCACATTTAAAAGGGTTGTATATGAGCACATGTGTCATATTGTACATGTCATCATTGGTGCATATCTTTCTTATATGATGCATGTGGGAAGGCAAACTAATATTTTCTCATCGACAGGAAGAACTTGATCGTCTCTGCAATTAGGGGGCAAAAAAGGGGACAAATGTTTGTAGTTATTTTAGCAGCAATAGGGTGAAATGATTGTATTCCTTCAGTCTATCCTCCTCTGTGATGGTGTTGGTTCAAGCCTCGCACTAACTCTTCTTCGTGGGTAAATTTGGCTTGTTAGTGTGATCGATGAAACGTCGGGGAGGCGGTGACACAGAATGTGGAGCTCTGTTTATTCTTACGATCCTTCAGAGAAATAAAAAAACGTCTTTAAACGTCAATGTTTGGGGAATCTCAGATTGGCATGACGCTAACCTAACAAGGTTGTTTATTTGTGAAGTTATCAAAAATGTCCTTTTTTAAATGTTTGTCACCGCTGAGAGAGAGAGAAAAAAAGAGTGATGGATGTGATGAGCACAGCACTGATGGGAGTCCATGCACGAGCCTCTTGCTTCATGCATGTGGATTATCTAGTAGAAGAAGACTAAATCGCTGATGCTCTGTGCTGCTGACACAGTTAGTTAAAGTTTAAAAAAAAAAAATGGCAGTTCAATGCGACACGAAAAGCAAAAGATGAATGCATTTGAAGTTGCAGCGGGGAGGAAGAACACAGCACGGCAGGCAACAGAAAAAAAGTGGCACAGTAACACAGCATAATCTCTGTAGTAGGATCCTCTTACTGTAACTGTATCAGTTAATGTGTAACCTTATCTACAGCACACTTAAGCCTGTTTTCTCTTTGTTAAAAAAAAAAGTGAATTATGGGTCATGATATTACCTCTTTGCAGCAGTGCAGCAATACAGGCTTTTTTATGGGTCTCAATAAAAATGCGTCACGTTTTAAGCTAAGGGCTAAAAGAGAATTGGATTAAAGGTGCTGACTAAACAAGGCATTGTCTGAAGGTTAACCCCGCTCACCTCCGCTTTAGCGTATAGCTGCTGATGGTAAACGGAGGATTGGCTCATAAAGTTGATACGCGGCGGTGTGTGAGCAACACAGAGGAGTGAGGAGGATAGGATTGTGAGGAGGATGCACTGGGAAGATTAACTGCTTTATTTGAAAAGATGCTTTTTGTGTACGATGTGGGGAAGCTGTTGAGCGCTGCTACGCCGTGGAGACTATGACGACGTGATGATGTAATGACAGGTGTGCTGTTTTTGTGATGCTGTGTCAATTCTCAAAGACGAGAGATTTATGAAATAGTTAATAGAGCGAAGATTTCACTTCCACTGTGTGGACAATGTTTACACTAAAATATCTAAATTCATTAAAAAAAATGTCTTAACCTATGCTGTATTTGTGTTGTTGTTGAGTACTTACATCACCTCAAATATTTCCAACAGTTATCAAAGCCAGAGAAATCTGTAATTTGAGTGTTGCTACTGGATGTGTTTTGTCATGGCAACCTTCATGACAAGAGCCGCCATGACAGACAGGACATGTTTATTGCCGTGGAAACACTGGATGTTATGTCAAAGACCGCTACATGTGTGCTGCTGTGATAAAAAAACGTGATTTAATGTATACTTGGAGACATCGTCATCATAGTTTTCCTAAAACTGAGTTATTAAGTAATATTTTGCTTTATTTACAAGAAGCTAATCTGGAATTATAACCCGTCAGTATCGTGATACGTATTTCCTCGCCTGATCCTTGCAACACACAGCCCGAGAACACAGTGTACAGAAAATGTCAGATTAAATGTCTCAGCCTGTCTTTTATGTATGCATGTTTCAGTCCCTTGTTTTCCTGCTTTGTTGCAGCTCCTTAAAAAAAAGTGCACAAACTAACCTGAAATCGTCTTTCTCATTCTTCCACACTGAGCACTTAAATGGAGGAAGGACAAGGGGGGGGGGAGAGAGCAAGCAGCGATGGAGCCAGCCAATGAGAGAGAGGAATGTGCGACGCGTAATGCATGCCCATGCCATGATGGAGGAGCAAAAAAGTCAGTCAGCACTCTGGCTCAGTAGAAGGTGTGCGAGTGCAGCAGCCAAAAGGAGCATTCAGAAAAGAAAGCCACTTAAGAGTCTTAAGGGAGGGGTGGGACACGATCAAGACACACTGCCAAAGCTGTCTCACTGTCTGTCTCTTTAAAGTCTGTCTAGCTGTTTCTCCTCATCCTGTTGGGGTAAATTTCCAACAAAAGCCAGAGGAGGAGGAGGGTGCACCCCCCTCCCTCCCCTCCCTCCCCTCCCTCTCTCTGAACCGTGAGGCTACATCCTCATCCATCCCTGATTCAATTTGCACTGATCTGCAGAGAGCCGCACTTATCATTGAGAGCAGGGGGGGGAGGGAGGTGAGGGGAGGTGAGGGGAGGGAGGGGGTTGAGCCAGCACATTGTCTCTGTATGTACCAAGGGCATTGGAAAATAAAAGCAGACTGCAGCGAGATAATAACAGATTGTTCTTGCGGCATTATACTGATGTGTTTAGGTCTCACTAAAGCCAGTTTTATTGTATACAACGGCCTCACTTTGAGGTGACTTTTGGCGCTGAATTGTACACTGGAGTGTGCTGGAACAGACCAGCGCAGGTGGGTAATAAAGCAGTGCTCCACATTTTATGTTACTGAAGGTGTCATCATCAACAGCATGTGTTTACATTTCATTTAAACCAGATGATTTGTAGTAATGTTGCGTATTTAGCGGTTAGTTTTAAGATTGCAAAAGCCATTATTATTCTTTACGCAGCATTATCAGAAAGGTTGGGCTGTCTCCAATTAGCTTCCCTATGCTAGTGTGAATGCTATATAAACTGTATATATATTAGGTTTACTTGCTCCCCCACGACCATAAAACCTCCAATAATGACTTAGTCATCCGCTGCTGTAAAGAGCCTCCCTGCACACATCGTAATGAAGGGCTAAGCTGCTATTTGAAAGTTCAAGGTGTCCTGTATATAGGTGCTATAAAAACAGCCTTATTGTTCCATCCAGACCTTACAAGCTCCCCGCTCTCATCGTCAGTCCCTCCAGGATTCTGTGGAGCTTTGCTGCGATTGTTGCAGCCAAAAAAAAAAAAAAAAGAAAGCCTCATTTTATGGCAGCTTTTTGAAAAAAAAAGTTGCACTGCAGGTCGCCATTTTTTTGAGGGATTGAGGGCGATTCAAATATTAACGACGTACTGTAGTAGTAGGGTTTTTTAATCCAGTGTCATACTAGTAAAAATTAAACAATATCGATACCATGGCAACAAAAAAAGAAGTTCTAAGCACCCAAGAGTGGGAACTCTGTTTTTAATGATCACACACGGTCTTGAATTGCATAAATACGTTGGCAGTTCCAAAAAATGTTGCGCATTTTAGACAGTGGTTATGAGTTTGCTTGCATCTTTGATGGCTTAATTTTCGGCACTTTTCGATATCGTACTGAGTCGTTTAAAAAAAAAAAAACATGACGTGAAAAAGCATTTAAAAATGTGATTTAAGCAGTAAACTACTGGGATGTTTACACGTCATCGGCGAACTCAGGGGATCAACGACTTGAATATGAAAGATGTTAATTTGGTGACGTGCATGTATATGTCGCGGAGGGAATTCAGGTTAATGGTCAAATCCGAGCAAAATTGCAAGGTTGAATAAAGGGCGCAGGGATTGCTTGCGTTTGCATGAATTCGGAACTTCCTGGAGGGACTGATAAGGACTCTTAACCAGCAGGAGCCTTGTGAGATTTGATTGGTTAATACACCGATAAGTATGTGTGTGCAGGTTTGGATAACAGTAGGTAGGCTGTAGCTGTGCTCTTACCATGGCTGCAGCCGTGGCGGCGGCTTGCGCGGCCACGGCTGTCTGGTTGGCCTGGTGTTGCGCCGCCTTAATCTTGGCCTGCAGGTGGGCCGGTGGGTGGAAGTATTTGCACTTCTCGCGGGAGCAGCGGCTCTTGATGTAGTCCATGCAGACGGTCACCGTGTTGTCGCTGGTGTCGATCATGGGGCTGTCGCTCGGGTGGGCGAAGCGGCAGTCGGTTTCGCCGCGAGCGCAGTTGCCTCGCTGGAACTCGCGACACACCTGGGAGCATGAGAGACAGGTGGACAGAGGGGACAGATGCACAGGCACACCACACAGGTAAATCAGACACAGATGGATGAACGCAGAAGGAGAAAACAAAGAAGAACACAGAGACATAAAATAATGAATATATGAGCTCTCAGTACGTCTAGAATCAATGGCAGCTCAATAAACTTCATATTCATATCAAACAAGAGAAGCTCAAAGCAGATAGCGCCCTCTGCTAGCAGAAAAAGAGAGCTGCAATAAATATTTTCGTCCAATGAATTTGAATTGTCCCTATTAGTATTGATTTTTTAATTGTACTGCGAGGTGTCAATGGTGGAACGAGTTTTGTTACGTCCCACCATTAATGGAAAAGCTTTGCCAGAGTAACATGTAAATGAGGAACACACAGGCCAGTATGTCTATATTTCTCCTTCAACCGTAATTTGAAATCAAAAAATGATGAAAGGTTCATACTGGGATATATGGGGAGAAAAACAAATTCCTTGATTTAAACAGTATGTGTGCTAGACGTGCACCAACCTTCTGTAAACAAAGACGATAAATTAAGTTCTGAACCTTAACACCATGCAACGTCTGCCAAAACCAAATAATTGAAGAATTACTGAACCAGTCGGTGTTTAACTGTTCAGAGGCCTGAAAATAATCACAGGGGGGGGGGGATCCGCTTTTGTCTCGCACTCTGGGACGCAACTCAGAATGCTTGCACAAATCCTCATGCAACATTAAAACACACACACACACACACACACACACACACACACACACACACACACACACACACACACACACACACACACGCATGCAGGCTGTGTGTGGGCTCCGTGTCTCAGAGGGATGCTGTTTCATTAGAGCCAACTTCATTCAGTTGCTAAGTGATAGCACTCCCAGAGAAAAACACATCGAGGCACACACCTACGCAGCACCTCCAGGTCTTATCGGGAGATTATTGTTTATCTTTATAAACGTGGTGAAAAAGAATAATCTCCTCTTTGTGCACTCTTTCACAATCACAGAGCTCTCCTCATTCGGAGCTGTTGCCAGGGGGCAGACGGAGACGGCTGAAGTTGTTGTAATCGTCCCCGTCTGGCAAGTACCAGTTTGTGCTGTTGAGCGTTTCCCAACGTAAAATCGCTGTAATTGCATCCTCTCTATTTTTTCAACTCATCTTATTTGATACGAGCCTTAATTGTTTCTGTTAGAGGTAACACGATCTAACACACAAGGGTAATAGAGGTAAAGGACGATCACTGAGGAGCCTGTTGAGATGTGAAAATGAGCTGTTTGCCTTTCAGCCTTAAAGTTCTTAAGGTTCAAATCAAACAAATAATACAGCTACACACACAAACATTTATGGTATAACATGGTGTCGTATGGACTTTCTGTTAGCTAATGTGTTACTCAGCTTATCATATCACTACTGACATCATTTCTCTGCACTGTTTCTTTGCATATAACCTTGGGCTGGGCAATTAGTCGCAATTTTGACGTTATCGCAATATGAGCATTCGCAATGAAATGTCAGAAATGAATGGCAATAAATAGAAACACTCATGCACAAAGAGGAGACTATGGACGTGCACTAATGGAGAGATGTCCGAGTGAAGGGGCTGCCCTGAGTGCTCCTGAGCTGGCTTGGGGGGGGTTCGTTGCCTTCCTTAAGGACTCCTCAGCCGTGCTCAGGAAGTGACCTGGCACCTCTCCAGCTACCAGACCAATTTCCAGGCTTGGTCCGCACCGGGACTTTAACCGGCGACCTTCTAGTTCCCAACCCAGGTCCCTACAGACCCAGCTGCTGCTGCCCATTTTACCAGTTCAAGCAGGCCTGTGTATAGTGGTCATGGTTTCACACTGTTTGGATGCAGTAAGATGAAGCTACCTTTTTTTTTTTTGTGATGCAAAGAGGCAACAGTTTGGAAACACAAATATGTTTAGATACTTTTCTAGACCTAGATCATGGAAACGCGTGGAGCGTGGAAACCCTGTTGCCTGGATTTATCAAAACGACTTCAACTGATTGCTGCATTCATAAAGGTCTAAAAAAGGTTAAAGATGTGCACATTTCTAGGTCCAATTCTGTAATAAAAAGTTAAGTCATCGGTTTTTATTTATCTTTTTTGTCTTCCTGAATTCAGTTCATTTTTCATGCCTATCATAATAGAGCCATAACATCCAGGGGGCAGAGAGAGTCCTGTCAACGCTCTTCAGCTATGAAGGATAACAATTAGCACCATGTATCTAGTGCATCTCTGTAACATCCATAATTAAGGTTAAATGCTCCTCTAATTATACTTCACTATGATAGGCTGTCGTTCTTATCTCGTCTGACAAAAGAGAGGACTGTGATTGGGTGCGTCACCTCCAGTTTGTCCGTACGAAGCAGTTTCTGGTTGGAGGAGGAGCCTGCGGTCATGGAGACGGGCGGGCTGCCAGGGACGATGACAGGCGAGCTGGGCAGGATGTCTGTGGGCACCAGGCCCATGCTGTGGGACATGGGAGTCAGGTAGGGTGTGTAGCTCAAACCGGCGCCGGAGCCCAGGCCCTGGCTGACTGAAAACGTCTGCTGCAGATGAAGCAAAAGGAAGACAGAAAGAAACTACTTTATTCTGTTTCTTTTCAAGTTTAAGCATTTTTTTTTTTTACATAAATTAAAATCACAGACAGGAATGAGAGAAAAACTTGAATAGCATGATGGGAAATGATGGATGAAGGGAGGGAGTTGGAGAGTGAAATGCAGAAAGAGGTTAAGGAAAGAGACACCAGAGAGAAATTAACAGAGGGCGCAGCTGTGCAGAGTGCTGGGTGAGAGAGATGAGAGGTGAGGAGGCGGCAGGAGAGAGTGTGACCGGGTAAAAGAGAGAACGAGAGAGGAGTCGGTTTCAGAGAATAATGGAGATAGAGGGTAGAAACAAGAGAAGAGTTTGAGGGGTTTTTTTTAACCTCTGTGTATCCCAGGGAAGATTTTGCTTAGCTTGCATGTTCTTGTGCAGCGACACCACACCTTATATCAATGCAGTCAAACACGCTCGCACCTGGCAGACGCCCAATGCAACCACAGAGTGCTGCTGTCTGTTGAGCAACTCCCAGAGAGACGGTGAGGAGCTCTGTGCTTTGCTCAAGGGCATCTCAATAACAATTGTGGGAACAAATGCATGACCTTTCTTGCCTGAAGTGTATGAAAACAAGAGCGTTCTGGAAAGGGATAATTGTATGTATAGCATAAAAGACTACATTAATCAACTTGCTGTTAAGTGAATCATGCATCGAACTCTAGACCCCAATGCAGCATGAAGTAAAAATAGCAAAACAAAAATAAAGTCCAAATAAGAGATTGCTATTTGAGTATGAATATAATATAACTAAAGCCTACGTAGGATTACTTGCAGGTTTTTTAGCATCTAGCTAAATTCAAGGAGAACAGTTGTGAAAGTTTCAAAAGGAAAGGTAATCAAGGAAATCAAAATGTTTTTCGAGCGTTGGATGCTGACCGCAAATATTAGCAAGAAGGATGAGTCACAAGCCCAGTTTTCCACCAGTCAGCAAAGATTATGTTCACCGATTTCCATCATTTGCAAATAAAAAAAAAAATGACTTTGCCATCTACTGGAGTGTCTCGTCTTTTATGTGGAATCGAACCGCAAGATGTTTGTGGAGCAATATCCTGACTCACGGTGCATGCTGGAAAGCAACAGTTATGCTCTTAATCATTATTAATCACTGGTTTGATTCATTTGGTTTGACAGAAACAGCTGTATGCCGCAGATTTAATGTTTTTTGTTGTTGTTACTTTTGTTGTTTTTGTGTTTAGAATCAAACTCTCACTAAAAAGCTCAACATGCCGCCACTTTGGTATCATATCAAAAGGAAGGTTGTGTTTCTGAATTTTCTCAAGTGAAAAAACTTAAATTGCTTTTGTCTTTCTGTTTTCTTAACAGGGCTGTTTTCTTGGATTGAGTAAAAAAAAAAAAAAAAAAAAATCATCATTTAAAGAAGGATGTCTGCTGGAAAACCCCGACAGTTAAAGAAGTGTATGTCGGCATTTAGAGGTGACATTATGCACCAACTCTTAGAGCAATCAAATGAAATAATGATGTTGTGCAAGTTTCAACGAATGCAACTTCATGTTTAAGGGCGTTTTAACAGGAACTAAGCCAAGGTTTTTACAGTGCAGCACAACAACAGCGATCTGGGTTATTTTCACAATGAGTCACACTGCTATGCCCGTCAGTTCCCACAGCGGCAAGGCCGGCACTAACCACAGGCTGCATGGTGGTGCCCGGGATCATGAACTGCATCTGTTGAGCCAACATGGCGGCCGCCGTCTTCTGCTGGATCAGGTTGTTTCTCCCGTTGATCTCCAGCTGGGTCTTGAGGTGAGCGGGCGGGTGGAGGTATTTGCAGTTCTCTCGCGTGCAGCGGCCCTGAGCGGAGAGAGAGAGAGAAACAAACACGGTCATTAGCAGTCTGAAAAAAACTTCACGTCTCTGATCAACAGAATGAACTGAAACACATCCATGTTCTCTCATAATCAACCTGACTGTGAACAGGTTGAGTCTGCCTGAGGAGGTGGCAGATACGTGGGCTCTGATTTTAAAACAGACTCCAAAACATCAAGCGCTCGGAGGCAGCATACATATTCATACTGGGAGAGTGTGAAACATAGGAAATGTTTGTTATGTTCTTGCTTATCCAGCGGGGGAAGTAGGAAGCATTCACACACAGTGGCCATTTTTCTCTCATGCCGCTAAGGTTAAGATGCTCAAATGATGCTATAATGTGTCACTGGAGATCATAAATTGTGTGAATGAAGGGAATCATTTAGCCAATGTTACCAGTGACTGAAAAGACCAGTATGGGAAAATGTGGTCCAAGGTTCAAATGGATTTCTCAGTTATTGATTGATTGATAAGGAAGCAGTGAAATGATACATTTTCAGATTCATACTGGAATACAGCAGTGCAAAATTATAACAAAAAATTCAGCTGTCCACTCTGAGTGTAAGCATGATCTATTGTTATGAAAGCTGATTAGGCGAGTCTGATGTTCCAGCTTCTCTCGACTTGTTACATCCCAGACACTCTGACGGTCAACTCCAGCAACCAAATCTCTGCAGCTTTTTTTTTTTGATGGACAGGTCATCCAACCTTCTCTGTGGAAATGCAAATGCACAGTAGGCAGGGTCAGGCTTACAGAGACCCTGGTGGATGAAGGCAATTACACTGTCAACCCAGAGGCTAATGGCAAACACAATAATCCAATACGGCTCCTCGATGCCTCGACGCAGTGCTTACAGCGAGGAGGAGTGGGTGGAAAAGAGGAGAGGGGTCAGCAGGGAGCGAGACACACTGAAGGGCGGAAGAGGCGAGTGGGAAAAGAGACCGGGAACGATGGAAAGTAAAGGTGAGGAGAGGAGCGATGGAAAAGATGTGGGCAGAGTGGAGACGTATGTATATATTGCCGAACAATCAAATAATCATACATCACAATATCTGTTTACCTGAAGAATATAAATGACCCCTACAAAAGGTAAACATGCAGGTTTACTGTATTTATTAACAGACGTTTGGTGTCAACTTCACCTCTAATCGGGCTTCATTTATATTATAACCCCACTGTCTTCTTTTTACTCTCAGTGCAGGGAGTCAGAATTATTCATGATGATGCTGCATTGATGTTAGATGATGAGTCGGAGCTACGATGCTTTATAGTGATCTTAAATGCACTCTGAAAATAGGGACGCATGATAGTCTAGCAGATATGCAGATATGTGCGGAGGCTACAGTCCTCAACGCAGACAGCCGAGGGTTTGAAGTCATCCCCCACCCTCTCCTCCCAACATGTCCTGTCTCCCTTCAGCTTTACTCCCTATACAGGTGTAAATATTACCTCTCATGACAAGCACATTCAAACAGGTGGTTTACTGGGACGTCTGGTTTTTGTCAGTGTTGCAAATGAACTTTTGAAGAATAAAAAAAATCAATCGAATAAAACATTATTATATCTTTTTACTATTCTTAGTGAAGCACAGAACTAGAACACCTCCCATGGGTCATGATGATGCAAATGAACAAAAGCCCAGTATGGATTGTTTCTGTTAACACAAAGGATTGAAAGCCCCTAAGTGTCACTCACTCATCATGCTACAGGGACTTCAAATAGATATTAAAGGCCATGTAGCCACAGTGGGACATTTCTTTCTCATATTCGACAGGAGCTTTTGATTAAGCACAGGTAAAGGTAACCGCCTTGCTCCCGGTGTAAATAACCAATAACCTTCAGGTCTCATCAAAGGAAAAACTAATAAAAATGCAGCTATCTCTCTCTCTCTCTCCCTGACAGATATTAAAGACCCTGCAGAGCATCAAAACAAGCTCCCAGCGTTGCAAGAATTTCTTTTCATTTGACAGATTTTAAAGATTCCACAAAGGATATTACTTCTGTACATTTTAGGAGTCTTTTCACCAAATTTATAACGTCAGGATACAGGTATGACGACCACACAGCGTCCCTGAAAAGCTATTTTGTTGTGATGAGAGTCACGAGTCAGGTGGGATTGACCTCCACACCCTGGTGTTATCGCTGCAGCGTCATGGTTCACGTGCACAAAATCACACCTGCCCACTCGTATGCATACTAAATGACACGATCACGACAGCAAGCGTCGCCCACACGCACTTGCACAGGCACTGCTGCACACAAACACACACACACTCTGTTACACCCTATCCAGACCAGAGGAATAACATTAGCACTGAATCACAAACCCTCAGACGTGTCAGGACTAATTGGAGCTGTACAGTACGCACCGACACTGCATTAAGGTGTGCGTTTGCGTGCATTGTGTATCTGGATGCAGCAGAGAGAATGCGTAGGCAGGTGTAACAGTGCCTGAGTGCGTTGGCGGGTGTGACTTTGTGTGTGTGTGTGTGTGTGTGTGTGTGGTGCTGAAGCTGAGCTCTGGACAGGATCCCAAAACGGAGTCTGCAGGGAAGCGCAGCACCGCCACTGCGCCCTACAGAGATCACAGACACAGACCGACACAAAGAAGGACACACACACAAACATGACACACAAACCACAAAAGACTCTCAGCGCTCACATTATCAGTTGTGTGGACTTCAAGAGAAGCCATTACCTCCTTTTTTCTGCTTCATATTCAGTTCATCTTCAGCCTGTGAGTGACACATGCTTTCTGCAATTGCTCATCGTTATTCCTGATTTAAAGTGATGAGGTAAATGGTGCCGAAGCTATGTTCAAGAGGGTTTCATAATGCACAGGCGCTGTCGCACTTAGTGCAGGTCTTGGACTCGTATAAAAAAACATCTCCTTTTATCCTGTCAAACTTTCTTTGAGAGCGATCTATCACGGCATTGTGTTCAGTCTTTGCATAAATCAGCTTGATTTGTCTTCCTTTTTGTCTAGTTTGGAGGAGGAAGAAGGAAATCACCATGTTGTTCTAACACTAATATGTGTCCCTAGTCTGTTAACAAATGATGAGAAAAGTCCATCTTCTCCGTCTTTTACCTGCCCCACTTTTCAGAAAATGTGTGCTCAAAAGGCCGTTTGGAGATGTTCCCTTCATGACATCACAAAGGGCAGTAACCCCTCCCCCAGGTGGGTGACACTCCCACAGCTAGGTGTTTGTTCTGCCCTCTGAGTCTGCCACCCAAGACCTTCTAGACAGGATTAGTCAGACAGCTCATTTACATTTAAAGCTATCAAAATATCAGCTAAAGGTGGCGGTAGACAATAAACTCCCATATTCTAGAAAGTGGAAAAAGTTATAAACTGTCAACTGCGTCTGCATGGACACCTACATGATGAGCGCATACAATGTGTTGATGTAAAAACATCATACAACATGACATCTGTGACTTACTGCATCGAGAGAGGAGCTCAGTTCAGGGTTATATATTCTGATCCTTAAGAACAACATCAAGACATTCAAAGATCCCATCAAGTAACAATGTGGTTAAGAAAACACACACACACACACACACACACACACACACACACACACACACACTTTATGAAGCATTCACTGAACTCAGGGTGGTGTTAATTTATTGCTACTGTGCACAGCAGTTAAAAAGCTTTCACCCACATCACGTCTCTCTGATTAGCTCAAAGTAAGGCTGGGAATCTGACATCTGCTTTATGGCAGGAGTAAGTCTTACTTGAATAAAACATGAAAGTACAGCGATGTACAAACGAATTACTATATATTTCTGAACGCAAGATTGATACTAATGATCAGACAGAAAGGGTCCAGGCTGCGGTTTTTCCACAATTGGAGATTCAAAGCACATAAGATGAGGTAATGTTACTGCATCACGTATTAAAAAAAAAAAAAAGAGAGGATGGTGTAAGCAGTGAGGTGGTCCACCAACACCACAATGACGCGGCTAAAAAGGCAGCATGCGTGTCTGATGACAATGCCACCTTCCAGCCTCAGACCTGTATCTTTTAGAGAGGGTGTCAGACAAATGCAAACATACACACACACCCACACACAAACACACACACACACAGTGTGCTTTCTGTCTGAGCCACCCACACGGAGCAGAGCACAAATCCATTCATGGCGGGCATTGCCTCCGAGCGGGCGTCTATGAAAAGGATCTTTGAAAAGACCACCTCTGTGATTCCCGCGCCAGCCGTCGGTGTGTAGCCATAGCTACACGGTGAAATTATACCTTTCAGCGGGGTCGCTCACATGGCAACCTCTCATTGCAGGCTGCGGCGTTGTCCTTGTGTATGATCCATGCTTTGGGAAACGCTAATAGTTGCTTTGATTGTGATTGGATAATTATTGCCTTGCGTGGCAGTGAGAAACGCACAATGACAGAGAGATCAAAGATAAATTATCGGGGGTGTTTTCACTTGAAAGAGATCCTCTGTCCAAGAGGCTTCACTGCTGGCACGCTTCTTCAGAATCCCCAAACATGGAAGCACTAATTGTTTTCCAAGTTGTCTACACAGCAGTGATGAGAAAATGTGATTCATATTAGGATTGATCCAAGCGGGAAGGGGATACATGCAGCTAATCGAATAAACAGATTAGGATTGCACCAACTTCCCCCGACGACGCTTCTTTAATTCTATTAAGTTCTCATAATTAGCACTCGTTAATGACTTCTGGAGTTCCACTCTGGTGTGTTTCTTTCATCTATAAGAGATGCATTTATGATGAAATTTCTCCCTTTTACATACAAGAAGACGCATGCATCCCTTTTCTGCAGCTGGTATATCAATATAAATGTCCTGAAGCTTTTTACTGCAGCAGTATTTGCAAATTATTCCCTGAGTGACAAACAAAACATCCAATGGAATGATTTGCTTCTTCTCCAATGGGGAGACATTGTCTTACAGGATAAGGAACTGTTTTATCAAAAAGTAAGAGGACATTAACACACAATT